GGCGGAGACAGTTGCTCACCGCTTCGTAGAACGATGGATAGCTCTGTACGGTTGTCCCTCGACTGTCACGACTGACCGAGGACAACAATTTGAGTCCGCATTATTCTCCTCACTAACACGGCTGCTTGGTACGGTACGCATACGCACTACCGCCTACCATCCAGCATCAAACGGTTTAGTTGAACGGTTTCATCGCCAACTTAAAAGTGCTTTTCGAGCACACGAAAACAACAATTGGTACGAAACCCTGCCGCTCGTCCTCCTGGGAATCAGAACGAGTCTAAAGGCAGATATTCAATGTTCCGCCGCTGAACTTGTTTACGGCATGACATTGCGTCTGCCTGGGGAATTTTTCACACCACGGAGCAGCACTAAGTTCGGCGAATCAGACTACGTCCAACGACTGTCTGCATTCATGCGAACACTGACTCCGGTGTCGACTCGTATACAACATCGACAGGTCGCTCTCCCTCGAGAGTTATCTGCCTGTTCACATGTTTTCATACGAGTGGATTCGGTACGCAAACCTCTACAACAGCCTTACGAGGGCCCTTTTCACGTGATTTCCCGTCACGAAAAGACCTTCAAGGTTGATCGACGTGGCCGCATCGAAACAGTCAGCATTGATCGTCTCAAGCCAGCACACGTCGATGACAGTGCTATACCTGATAAGCCGAGACTCAATGTTAGACCCATCAGAGCTTCTAGCGGGATTTCTACATCTACTTCGGATCCCACGCTAGATGCACCTGAGACCTCATTCTCACGTCCCAGTCAACAGCACGTGTCATCTGCCCCGTCTACGGACGAGACTTCCGTCTCACGTCCAGACCTGCAGACCACACCGCCCTTGACTGCGGATGAGATTGCAGGCTCACGAGGTTCGAACGAGACTACCGTCTCACGTTCTGGTCGCCGAGTACGCTTACCCGTACGCTTTCTCGACTAACCTCATAACCAACTACGGATACAGTATAGGAATCTGCCCCTATACTACAAGAAAGCTACACTTTTCTCTTTTTCTATCATTTTTTTTGTTTACCCCGAGCCTACGCCTCCGACCATCGCTGTTACGGTATCGTCGACTTCAGTCAACTTTCGCGAAAGCTGGCCCGATCACCGACGCTCTAGTCAACGCACTCAGTCGATCTCTCTGGCTCCAAATACGTATGATATACATTTGGTCCCGAACATGGTTATCCTGGTCGCATCTGGTTCCTTGGCTCAATCTGGTTTCGTCCTACGTCTGCAGCGTTTCTGGTCCGGACCTCTACGAACGCAACCTTCAGATTCTGGATACAAACCACTCTGATGTAGCATGCTAATCCAAGCAATCAATACAGCACGTTCCTTCTGGTACCGTTCTACGTCAAAGACTTTTGGTGGCAACTCGAGGATCAACGATCACTCCCTGTTCTGCCAACGTTTTCGTCCTACAATTGCACGTTTCGCGATCAGTCCCACGAATGAAACCGCTACGTATCGAAAGTGTAAATCCTTTCTAGCGGGGGGCTCCTGTAGTGACCGGCCAGTCTCGATAAGAACACGATTGGAATAATAGAAACAATTATTATTATTGTAACCAATTGTACCAGAGATTGTTTTACTGTATTTGTTTAACTGTATCCGTTTCACTTCTTGTTCCATATACCGCCTGGTTTGGTTCGAACTTGCTCACGCACTGCTTGTTCGCTTGTACTCTTTGGCACGTCTCGGTATTATTTCGATACCACGAGATCGCCAATAAATATACTTGATCTGGACTAGTAAAGCCTTCTGGTTTACGGGCTATCAAGGGAACCAAGTCATATTTGTACGCGTAATCGAATAGTAGTGGTGATCATAGTCCGTCCACGACTCGACATCCACTACAAACCTACAAGCGGCTAATAGAAAGACGATCGCCACATGACCTTAGCGATATGTTTACCTTAACGTGGGTTCATAGTGGTGTTGGTTCCGAATCACACGATCCTCGAAGCCACGCACTCAATTACTGAAAAGATTTACAATCAGCCTGTAACACTTGGAGGTCAACAATGTTGAATGAAGGAGCAATTAAATGATGACATGGAATCCCAATCTCCCTATTTTGGGGAAAAATGTCGTCTGTTTTCGGAAAGCTGTCGTACAAAATTCTGGAGGAATGGCACAGAAAACCACAGGCCTGAGGAAATCCCAAAAATTCCCCAATATTTCCCCAATATTTCCCCTGAATTGCTGACATCTTTGTGGAAACCTATTCACGTCCTGTGATCAAACCTCAATATTTTTTTCTCATTTTGAAGACATTCGTGTTATCCTTAATACCGCATTCGAAAAAGCTCAAGATAACCGATTGCACAGAAAAGCCTATCGACTTAATAACAGGCATCCACAATTTACTACGCATCTGCTCAGTTTTTTCTCCAGTTATTTTCGCGAAATTAACACAGTTCCAAATAAATTTATTTATTTATGATATTAATAACAGTAATGATTACAGATACGAACATAAGCAGACTTCATATATGAACATGAATAAAAAGAAGAGAAAAGAAAATAAACGCGAGAAGTTTCGAAGGTTTTCACTTTGCTCTTCAGTCACTCAAATAGATGACTGACCTCGGCACCAGGCTTTAGTTCCACTGCATCGGAGGTTCACTGGCAGTCTGTTCCACATGGTTCAGAAGCGAATAAGGAAACAATTCCAGAGTAAATTTGTGTGGGTTCTTGGAATCTCTAAAATATTCTCCTCATTGCGCAGACTGTGGGATGATATCATAGAGTACTTATGGGTGGGTGCCGAAGAATGAGAAATACCGTTTACAAGCTAGTATATAATAAGATTTGACTTAATGTGCCTGATGCAGATAACTTCTAACTCCAGTAGTTGACATCTTCGGTAGTAATCTTCGTAGTCAGCTTTAGTCAGTCTTCCGTGAGAATCTTCAGTTTCCATCACGTCATTATGCCTGCAATTGCTGTAATCTGTAATACCATATTTAAGTATGGGTAAGATACAATTTTTGTGCAGTAATGATCTCGATTCCGTGTTACTGAATTCTGTCATTATGAATCGAATGAGCTTTCTAGCTTTGAGTACATGAGATGCAATGTGCTCAGAGAAGATCAAACTGTTGCTATATATTAAACCAAAGTCACGAACATATGAAAGCAACATCTTGTCTCTCCAAGACTGTCAACGCTGACGTTATCGTTATCTGCGTATTGATCGATGATATGGAATTTGTGTTTGCAAAAATGGACTTTGAAGGGTCCTTCGTATGCCATTTCGAGAGAATGTCTTAATGAATCGTGGCGTAAGAAAAAGTATGTACTACATCGTAAGGCAAATTGAATAAAAACACCAGTTGACTGAGATTGAGTGGGCACAGGTTTAGCTGAGCGCATGGAGTTTGTGAACCTGTTCATGCAAGAGTTTAGATCTATATTCATTGAGGAAGATGAAATCTTCACGAAATTTCCTAAAAGTCAGAGTGTCGTTCCCCAAGCGAGCTGTGCTGCAGTGTTTCCAATTTCAGCTTCCACTGCGTTGCGAATGCCAAGTAAAACGAGTGAAGAGTGTTAGTCGACTGTGAAACATTTGCAGCCTTCAGTGGAGGACTATCGAAGAACAGTCCCAAGTTTAATACCCACCATTCAATATAGGTGTATTTCAGCAGTAATGTCCTTGATGGGTGCTGTTTCCTTCCATCATGTGAAACTTTACACGCTTTAAGAGGTAACAGTACCCATTTGGATCTGGCAAGGGTCCTACCAAATCATGATGAACACTGCCGAAACGAGAGTCAGGAGTTTTGAACAAGCCTAAGGGACAATTTTTGCATCTAATCACTCTACATTTCTGGTGGTTTACACGAGAGCTTTCACACGGCTTTACGTGTCCATTAATTCTAGGGCAACAAAATCGTTCTTTGATTGCTAGAATAACTGGATGAGAAGGCTATACAGTGTATTGAAGACGTTGTGCCGATAATGTTTCGGCACGATGTGACGATCCCTGTATGTAGAACTGTCACACAATAAAGTTCCCTCACCTGTTTGATCTGTATTTTCAAGGTTGTCTAGGGTAACTGGTGCCGTAGATCAGTGTCTTCTTTTGGGGTAAGTTTAAGAAGGTCAACTCCTCACAAAAGAAGTTATACGAGACAAGGCGTCTGCCATTATATTGTCTGCCCCAGAAATGTGTTGTATATCTGAAGTTGCCCAAGTTGTAACTGTATTCTGCAACATGTTGCAGATGGACTACTTCACATTTTGAAGTATTAAAGGTAAGTCCGTTGTCGTCTGCCCAACTTTGAAGTCGAGTCAGATCCTCCTGAAGTGCCAATATATCCTCTTGGTTGAGTATCTCTGTCCAGAGTTTCACATCATCAGCAAAAAGCAATAAGTCAGACGATACCTGTTGCGCAGGACTGTTTACATAAATCAAGAAAAGAAGAGGTCCTAGTACTGGACCGTGGGGGACCCCATTAGGACACTGCATAGCCTGAGAGAAAGTGAAGTTAACCCTGACCTTAAAATGTCGATTTTTTAGATATATATATAAAAATTAAAGGTGGTTTGATACCCAGTCTTCTTAGCTTATTGATAAGACATATATGGTTGACCCTATCAAAAGCTTTTGAGAAATCAAGGTTAATGACGTCAACCTTCCCCTTACGACCAAAGATGCTTGTCCATCTGTCCATCGCAGTCAGCAGGTTGGTTATAAAAAAGCCACCCTTCCTGAAACCTTTCTGTTGGGGTGAAAAGAAATTTAAGGATAATAAGTACTCGTGTACACAATCGCATATCAGGGACTCCATAATTTTTGAACGTTTGAGTGAAGAGCCACCGGTCATTAACTTGAAGGTTCGCTACATCGAGTAGCTAGACTTTTCCCATTCGGGATTGCCAAAGACCTGAGACCGTACGAGGTTGACAAAAAGAGAGTTCAAATAAATCAATCAGTTCATACAAGCTAGTCACAGATGCATTGGAAATCGGAGAGGGGCAATTTATAAGCTATTGCGGTACACTACATAGTTTTATTGATGAGTGTGCGTTAGAGAAGAGTAGATTGGGATCAAAAATGGGTAATAACCCAGACCAGGACCAATATAAAAACTGGTAAAACTTTTTTGGGATTTACTTAGGGTTAGAGAACTGGTTGTAAACTCGTTACAGTTGTTTTAAGTTCGTCCATACACTATACACCTCTCAATGAACAATATGGACTTATATATATATATATGTTTGATTTGTCATAAATTAAAATGATATTGACCAACAGCCAGGAAGCTGATATTTTTACATGGTTAGGGCCTGTTACTTTGACTATGGTCCAAGTTACAAACACAGTTGAGTCGACTATATATAGTCATTTTAACTGTGTTATAACACAGCTAAATTGAAGAGAAGTATTGACGCCACTCATCTTTTAGTTGTGAGTGTATAAGGCTTTTTCTTATGTCTCCAACCGAACTGAAGTAGTTGTCCTTGCGGTTACCTACTTTTCAAAGTGGCGTGACAAGATATTATTAAGAATTAGTACTTATCTCGCCTGTTTAGACCTTTCATTATTATGTTTTAGAGCCTACTCTTCAAGCCATCAGTCTATGGTTATATGCTAAGATACAGTTCTCGGTGATGCTACATGTCAGGCGAGTAGTCAGTTGACGAATTCTTATGCATGTAAAGTATCAAAGTTTTTAAAAAAAATACTCAACTCATAGACTTTTTTCCCTATGGGTCCGAATAAAATTTCGTACGCGGATTGGTAATGCTACTCAGCTATCCATGTACGAGTTCAAATTCTCAATATGAGAAAAGTCCGCAAACTACCATGTAAATACATAATATACCTTAAGTCTGCAATAGTTCGCCATTTGGAAATATGGTAAAAGTTGAGATGTCTTATGCAGCACGAGACTGCGATTGTTTCAGACGACATTGTTAGAACTTCAGGTAAAAAATACAGTAGTTGTTGACCACATTTTATTTAGTGATTAACCTCATCGAAACTAGGTAGGCAGCGGTATTCATATCCGCAAAAGATATGATACGCATACATTTGTAACAACGTACAAAGTTGTATTTGGATTTTAATAGCAAACAAACTTTGAGTCCTACTAATAGCTTCAACCATTAATTAACTTACCCTTATCGATGGAGTCACTAAACGTACAAGAAGTTCAGGGGCTAAGTAAAAGATCATCAACCTAGATTTGAACAAACTAAATTGAATGAGAGCCTTTCCCTAAAGTATACTTTCACCATTCTATTTTAAAATGGTCTGTGGCTTAGCGAAGTTGGTAATTAGAGATTATCGTAACCAATGTCTGGAGACTCTGGATGACGTGGCTCGGAGTCCATCACAATGGCGTAGATGTACACACTTTTTATCTGCCCTTAAACCGTGAGATTAAAATTGTTTTATACCTTTACTTCTACGAACTAATTATTCCTGTATTTATCGTGATACACGATCTTTCTTTTATGTATCACTACCACTGAAGTAACTTCTATGAATTTGGTGTTCATCTTGTTGTGTTAATGAGGTGTGGCAACTTGAACCGATCCATATATGTGCCTGATCCTACGTTGCAGCTAAATTATTTAAGGATGAAAACAATATAACGACGAGTAATAATCAAGTTCAAATGGTTATTGACAGAACAAAAGGAGCGTTTGCTTAACTGGCCTTTATTTCTAATAGCAGTATCTAATCGATGCCTCCAAGTAGGGACGTAGGTGTATAAAACAAGCAGGAGAGAAGTGATTGCAATTTCATATGATATACTGTCCGAACTCCTCAGTAATATGTCAAGTTTCCTCTTGAAGGACTCCTCGAAAGTTGCTTAACCACCTCAATTGCCAACGAATCTCAAATCTTGACTACTCATGAAGAGTAAATTCTTAAAATCCTGTAGGTTATCAGACGTTCGCTTTTAAGTTCCCCTCAGTCGAATAGCTAGAGATCCGTTAATTTAAGGCGTTCCTCATAAGGCTTGAGGTTGGGCTCCTTAACTGCAATTTGGTGATATGCTGATTACTTAGCTATCATCTATGTCAGTCTGTCGACAGTGACTGGATACCTGTCTGGTTAAACTTATTGATATGATATGGTCTAACCTATGAAAAAAAATTTCGGGAAGTCAAGACGTTTTTTTATGTTCACTTTACCCTTACGATCGAGGATGTTCTTTGATCTATCCACTTCAGTCAACAGATTCGTAATGGAGTTGTGACCTTCCTCAAAACTATGCTTTTGGTGTGAAAAGAATTTTGTGGAGTGAACTGAGCTTTCCTGAACTACATCCTATTCGGACTCGTGATTTGTTTATATAACATAATCTGAATTACATTTCACCTTTTCTTGTACAGGATATCGTTATGAGATAATTATGACTCTCTTAGGTACATATAAGTGTTCATACCAAAAAATCACCAGCTGATGATCAGAAAAAGTAAGGACTTCAACTCAAAATTTTTATAATTAAAATGTGGACCTAGTTTTCACTTCACAAAAATTTACAACGTATATCCATAAATTCAGTACAGAATTTTTTTGTTTAAGCAGGTGACGCTTGAATAAAAACGTTTTAAAACGTACGAATATGATTATTCTTTTTGTTCTCAGGCTATTCATTTTGTTTAACATCACTTGAAAAGTAACAATTAGTTCAATAGAGTTTACAAAAGTTTACTTCTTGTTTTAGCTCTGTGATCTTAGTTGGAGGGTCGGTTTGCTGCTTTCTTGTCTATCAATTAAGGGACGAGTATACTGCGCAGCAGTTCGCTCTGTTCTACTTTGCGGCTATGAAACATGGCCATTAAAAGTAGAAGATACTCCTAAGTTACTAGTATTTGACCACAGATGCCTTAGAAATATTGCTCGCATATGCTGGGATCACTGGCTAAGTAATGGTAAGGTTAGACACTGTATTACGGAATGGTGGTAAATCAGTTGATAAGGTCATGAATCTTCATAGACTGAGATGGTTGGGCCACGTGTTACGTATGCCTGAACACCGATTACCACGACGCGCAATGCTGACTAGTAATGGGGATCGTTGGAAGAGAGCTAGGGGCGGCCAAACCAAAATGTGGCACCAGAGCATGAAGTCACTAACTTCTAGTCTGAGCCATGTTGGCAGATGCAGACTACTTGGTTGGGGCCCACGTGACTATCGTAACCAATGGTTGGAGACTGTGGGTGACATGGCTCAGAATCGATCACAATGGCGTAGGTGTATACACTCTTTATCTTCCCTTAAACCTTGAGATTAAAATTGCTTCATAACTTTCTTCCTTCCTATACTATATCCTTATACACAACCTATCTTTTATATACTACTACCACTAAATTAACTATTTCTATGAACCCGGTGTTCATCTTGTTGTGCTAACGAGGTATGGCAACTTGGACCGATGTATATATGTGCCTGGTCCTATGTTGTAGCTGACTGATTAATTCTCTTGTAGGACATGTTTTCTTATAATAGACCATTCAGAAGCAATACCAGTCACACAGTTACTACTCAGAGACATTTCTCCTCGATTGTAAAAATCGTAGTCTGAGAACTGACAGTAAATAGTTAATTGTATATCGGAAATAATGCCTTATCTGATGCATATTTAACCAAACACAGTAGGAAATTAATTTACGTAACTAAATGCATTAATTTTTTGGACTTCAGATCACAAATAGTGTAATTTGTGTCACGACTATATCCTATATATTATACATTCATCCTTCAGTTGATTCATCTAAGAAGTAAGGCCAAAAATAATGTCAGATGACAGTGATGCTTTCGCTAGTGCAGATGAAAGTATTCATATCAGTGTGGATGTGAACGACCCAGTGAAAAATTATCCACAGTCGAATTTTAAAGAGAACATCGATAATCAGGACTTTAGTAACCCAAATATTTTGTCTAAGCAACCTGCAAATCCAGCGTCATCATCGGCAAAAAAGTCAAATGTAGTTGAACCAAAAAACAAAACTGTTAGACAAACAAAACTACAATATGTGCCTAAAAAGTTTGAAAAAGTAAGCTGAAAGTTCTAGTTTTTTAATTTATGATTTTTATTTTAATGGAATATATGATGTCTAGATAACGAACACTTGGGGACTGGAAAGTTTTTTACTAGCCTTTGTCTTTATTTATCTCAAGTAAACAGACGTATCCGAATAAGGAAATTAAGTAGGGTCAGCATTTTTGTGTAAGATTTAGAGCCACACAGTGTAATGTTAATAATCATTCGCCAACAACTTTTCACTTTAACGAAGCTGTCATCTGAACTAGTTCAGAAAATGAAGTGATGTAACTTAATGTCTTATTACTATTATTATTCCATCTCGACCTATAACTTGACCTGTAACTAAAGGTTATGTATGTTTGGCATAATTATTATTATTTATATGGGTAGTGTTTCTATTTATAGTTTGGTGAAATATCATATCTTAGACATAGATTCATATCCAGTAATCATATTGTAAATGCAAAGCCATATTTTTTTCTGTATGTACTCAGGTGTATGTTGTACAGAAGTAGCCTTCTAAGCGTTGCAACTTTTAATATACTCAGCCTATTAATGATAGATAATACCAGCTTTCTCCACATTCAGACCTTTTCCATCTATCATTATGAACTTCGTAGTGTATATAGGTATCATTACCAAGTTTTGATTTGATAATTTCGAATAAATTAAGCATTGGGTAGATTGTTATAAATAAATAATATATTTGTAATATCCCAATGAGTAGAAAATCTAGTTTTTCTACTCATTGGGATATTACAAATATATTGTTTATTTATTCGTAGTGTATATTGTTTTTACCATTTTAAATATTGACAAGCGTTGCTTTCTTATGATTGGTTTCAAAAAAGGTCTATTTAGACAGATTTTACATGAAGCTTATTTGATTGGAATATTGTTATCACTCGGTTTCTATATAAATTAGATTTTGATAATGTCCAGCGCATCCATTCGCAACTGAACCATACAGTTAATAGAACTCAACACTACCTCAAGTTTCCTAGGTGTATGGATTTTTTCGTTAAATGATTGTGATTAATATTTCAAGTATGCATTTGTGTACTCTTTTGAGCAATACTTTACGTGTGAGGTCTACCGATTCTACTCAGCGGCCTAAACCATAGTAGACGGAGACGGGTTTGAGCTTGTTACTTAGTGGTCGAAAGCCTATTTCTCCAACCTTAAAGCTGCTGTCTTGAATCCTTCGTCAGACGCCCAAGGATATATTCTAACTGCTAGTTTACAACTGATAAATACATGTTGTTATAACGATAAATAGTTTGTATAAATTTTTATACACTAAAATAGACCTGATTAGCTCTACAGTTTGATTACATTTGCGGGGTCTTTCCGATTATTTCCTGACTATGAATTATGTGCGCGTTAAAAATTATTACATCAAGTAGTTACTTTAGCTTATTCACCTCAGTAGATTAAGGTTAGATTCTTCATTTATCTCATTGCTGTCTAACTTTTCTCAAAAAGTATATGCAAACTAAAATGGGAGTTATCTGGTGCTATTCGGTTATCTTAGTTTACTAAAGTTAATATTTCGCGAAATTGGGATATTTTGAAAGTGGTTATTGTCAGTCGATGTCGCTTCAAAAACCTTTGAGTAGACAGGAACAAAAGAAAGTTGAGGCGCTATACACCATGTATGGACTGTGGATAGTGAACTTAGAAATCTTGCCCGCACAGCAAAGTAATTTTATGTATGCAATAAGGTGATACTTTGGTTTAATATAAAAGCACCGAAAATCGCTTGACTAGAAGCTAAATCAGTTCGACATCTTTATACTTCATGAAATTTATCTGTTATCCAACTTTTATCAGGAAATCGAAACACTTGATTGTCATCTACTAAGTATAGTATCTTTGTTCTATTTTACATGATTGTTTGGCAATGTAGTTGTCTGTCGAACTGTTAGCGTAGTTTACATATTAGAGCATAGTTCATAAGCTATTATTTTGATTTACAAATTTTTAATGACCGATCAACATTCTTATGAAAATCATCGGTCTTAAGGTTGACCAGTTATCGCAAGTTTTGAAATTACTTTTTTTTTCTATGGGAGTCAAGGTTAATGAAGCACCGTTGAATGCCAACTCGAAGACAAATCTCCGAAAAGAAATCACATCTGTCGGGTTTAGCGCTAATAAAAATGAAAAACATAACCAACAACTTTCATCTTTCCGTATTTCCAAAAAGGTTAAGGCACCAGTAAAATGTGTAAAATCTAAAATGGAAAGAGTAGGTTCAAAAGAAGGCGAGAATTTCGTAAATAAACGAAATGATTTTCCGGTCAGTAATAATGAGGAACAAGCTATTAATGACGACACTAATAGAGATTCCAAAGTGAGCGAATTCATGACTGAACAACTCCCTGTAATAGCAGGCAATATAAATCCCATCACATCATTTCAACTTCGCTCTGAGATAGATAGACTTTCGACAGTTGACTCTTCAACAGAAGTAGATTTCATAACTTCAGCTACTTCAAACATCCTACGTGGTCAGTGTGATGAGATGAGTTCACTTGTTGTGCCAGGGGGTGTAATACAAGGAAATCCTTCAGATGACGAGGTACTAAAACGGGGAGTTGAAAGACAATCTGAAGAGAAAAGTGAAAGGAAAGTAATATTAGATACATGGAACAGTGTTTGGAATACATCGTGGACTAATGACGATGACAATGGAGAGGAAGGTAACGACAATGAACTGAGTGATGGCTGGGAAGTAGACTTTCCCGAGGAATCAGGTGATATATCTGAATCACAGTCAAGCAACATAAACTGCTCATTGTTTAAAAATTTGAAGAGTCTTGAGTCAACTGACAATTCCACATATGGTAGCCAGATTTCATCAAGCATAGAAAAGCGCGATGTAGAACAAAAGACAAGTAGCAATAATTTTTCATGGGGTTGGAGTGGTTTATCTTCATTTGGCCAACAATTGACCTCTTCATTACAAGCAACTGTGAGTCGCTGAATTTTTGAGCTACCATTTCGTCGTTTTGAAACGCACACTTAGTGTATATGTCCGAAGTAATAAGTTTGTATAATACTTTTTTAGTAATTATCTTTGGCTATCCTACATCAATACTAATAGTGTTCGCAGTGTTATATATATATATATATATATATATATTGAATAACGTTGAATTATTGTATGTTGTCGCTCAGAGTTAAACACTGAACCAGTCCCATTAAGTTTGAGTGACTGTTGATCTCAGTTTTGTATAAAAGTAATTTGATGGCCCCATTGGGGAACACTGCCACTGACTGTGCACATAATGGCTTACATCAACAAAATATCTACCCAACACCCCGTATTTGTAGAGGTAAACCAACTGAAGTCAATTTATAGTGAATACTGCCTAAAAATTGATCTAATCTCAAAAAGCTCCTCGATCAAATATGTTCATTTAGGCCTAATAGTCTAGTTTTCTTGTCGCGTCAATTTGTCATAGTACTAAAAGGATCTCATACTCTAACGTTTCAAGTTTCGCTGATAAATCATGGTTCCGATGAACAAAGACTACCTCGGATACTTTTTCAACAAATACATATTTACCTTTAAACTTCTGGCACTGATCTAGAACAATGATTCCTCCAAACAAGGTGAACTATGGTACTCATATCCGTCATGTAAGGGAACATTGTCGTCACTAGAACTTGTATACAATATCTTTGCTGCATTGTAATCTTCACTAAATTTTCCCATTACAACACCCACATCTCTATTGTCACTATTACTACCACGGTTAATAAGTAGATCATATCTAGTATTAGCAATATCAGCTTGCTCCTTTACAAACTCAGTAAGATTGTTAACCAGAGGCTTTCAACTTCCTTTAATCATCTTAAAAACTACCATTAGCCACTCTTGTTGGACATGCGTTGGTAATTTCAGAACCGTTGTTTCACTAGTTCTGGAGGAGTTGAAATCAGGAACGTAATCCATCTGTTCGAGAGTCAGACCACATGCTTGCATTTCTCGAGACAATCTTCTCAAACCATCTGGATGCTTCCTTATATTAGAAAAATTTAACAAGCTGCCAATAAACGTACGTGCTGTAGCGTGTTTTTGGCCAAACGTTTCCTCCAAAAGCTTTGATGCTTGACGATAACCTATCTCCAGTTCCAGCGTATTACAATGAAGGATAGCTGTTCTTGCTTCTACCGTCACAATACTGGATTAAGTAATTCAACTTAGCTCTAATTCTAATGTCATCACTGCCGATACATTCTTCAAAGTTTCTAATAAAATTCCAGTAATTTATTGGTGTACCATCGAATCTTAAGATTTCTCCCTTTTGTAAATACAACCTTTTTACTATTGCATTCTCGCTGTTGCTTACTGATTGGCTGAAACGTTCACTTCCCTGGCGACGTAACTTTTATAGTTCAATTTCTTTCTCCGACTGAGTTACACGTTACCTGACTGACTCTAGTTCTATCAGGTTATTAGTCTTAGGTTCATCCCTTTCTGGTTAGTCTTCCTCATATGTTGAATTATTTCTTATAGTCATGTGAATTGGTTAAGTTTGCATATTAGGAGTCAGGTTACTGTTGTAAGATTGGGTTATGATCCAATAAGATTTTCGCCAACAACTGGCTTCAAATATGATGCAAAAAGGTTGGGGTTAGGTATTATGAGTTAAGCTACGGTTATGAGCTCGGCTTACAAATTAAGGTTAGGATTTTCATCACGAGCTTACATCGGCTGTAATAAAATTATACTTTACTTTCCACTCTTTTAATTACAAATTGAAGGAACTTATTGTTGATGCTGGGAGTTAACGGTGGAAGAACGCCTTCTAGCTACACTAAACATCATGAAATACACACTGGATCATACTAAGTACTCCAACACACAATATGCACCAAGACCAGATATTTCTTGTGATTTGACTTAAGTAATATTTTATATTCACTGGTTGAATAATAAGTATTTAACGATTTCAAGAACCAAGCGATGCTAATTTTTACCTAGTTCGTAATAACATACAAGTTGTCTTTCACTGGACGCTCAGTTTTGCCAAAAATGTATGGGGAGCTATCTTAATTATGATTGTTTCGTTCAGGGCCGTTAGCGTAGCACAAATTTGCCCGACTGGCATTGCTACACACTTACATGGTGTGCCCTTACTTTTGGACGGATGAGTTATTCTAATTGTTCCAGTCATTTTGCCGTGTATATGTATGACGAGCATGTGTGCCTGAAGTGCTTAAGATCTACCTGCTTGCTTGTATCTATCGTACCTGTAAATGTTGAGTCATTTTGATCAAATAAAGTTGGCTATTTCTGCCATTCCTGTTCACATACATTTTCTCGTCTCTTGTTTTTCGTTCGCGTTAACGAATGTTCGAAACATGTTCCTCAAACACTTCCATACTTTACTTCTTATATCTACATTGTTATTAACAAGCTATCGTGACAAAATGCATACGAAGTACATTTCGTTATTTTTGCGATTGTTGTAGAGTTTAAATTTGGTACAAGGAGGTGTCGATGTTCTGGAATTAATCGGACGTAAAACGATGTCTGTGTTAGCTGAAAATGATCCTGGTTTCAACTATACCAGAAAGTTCCTACGTCCACCAAACTCTATTAATAATTGTCCAAATCTTTCTAAGGTTTGTTTCCGTATTTAAACGTGGACTGTTTTTTCCTTTCGAATTTTCAGTTTTACACAATTATCACCGAACAAAATTTATGGGGTGCGTTTCTATTGAAAGAACATCATAAGAAGTGGCGGAATTAAAAATCTATATTTTAGGTTATCGGTCGTCAAGGTGAAATTTTCTCTACTCCTGATTTTGTTCTATACCATTGATTCACCAAATTAACCTTGCTGCACGGTCTACTTTATCGTCCAATCAGTCAACAGAATTCATCTAATCAATTTTTCACCTTAACGTGAGGTTGTTTACAATGTATATAAAGGGTGATATTTCTGCTAAATATCATTACTTCACAGTCACAAGGAAAGTGTCAGTTATTCATACATAACGTAGAACCTGACACATGTATGCATCGATCCAAGTTAAGATGCCACAATAGCACAGAAAGACGCAATTATTTCATGATAAGTCTCAAACTAGTAGAAGTAGTAAAAGTATCAGTATCAGTAGTAGTATTAGTAGTAGAAAATATTAAATATAGAAAAAAGTATCAGTAGATTTTGATATAAATCTCAAAGACGAAAAATAAATGGACCTGCACTATTGCAAAGGATTCCAAATCATGTCATTCAGTCCCCAACCGTTAGCTATGATAATCATGTGGATCTAATTAGCTAATCTACACCTGTTGATGACTTCATGGATTGGTGCTACGTCTTGGTTTGCCCTCCTCTAGTTTTTTTCTAGTTTAATCTTACGCTAGGCAATATCGTCAGTCAAAGTAGGCAGTTTTTGGGCACACATATCACTCACGGGCCGTGTTGTCTTGTGATTTTCTGCGGGTCACTGAAGTATCATTGTTGGGTCTAGAAACTCCAGGAGACTTGTTGTCCAATCAGCTTTGAATAAAATCTTCACCGAAACATCTTGAATACGCTCAATCACGTGCCTTGATTTTGGTTATATAATTACCCACGCGTATACCATAGCTTGATCCCAGAAGCTCAAGGCCGTCCGAAGTGGTGTAAATACCCTCTTTTTTCTGTACATAAACTGACCTTGGAGTAAAGCTTTCATTCGCATTTCGCGCCTTTTTGTAGTATTCCAGTTGTTTAGTAGTGGTTCTCAGAACCAGCTAGAGAAACGAATAGAGCGTTTATTTAGCAAGATATAAATTATATTTGTAGTCGACTCATCTATAGTCAGTAAAGATGCAGTCATATTATCAAGTTAGTCTTCTGTTTTATCATTTTTACTTATTCCTGTTACTCCCAATAGAGCATAGACCACCGACCAGCATTCTCCATCCTCTTCTGTCCTGGTCTTTCCTTTCTACTTCTATCCAATTGTTGTTCATTCTTCTCATGTCTGTCTCCATTTCTCGGCGTAATGTGTTCCTTGGTCTTCCTCTTCTCCTTTGGCCTTCAGGATTCCATGTGAGGGCTTGCCTTGTGACTCAGCTGGGTGCTTTCCTCAATGTGTATCCTATCCACTTCCAGCGCTTCTTCCTGATTTCTTCCTCCGCTAGAATTTGTTTTTTTCTCTCTCATAGTAGCTTGTTGCTGATAGTGTCTGGCCAACGAATCTGAAGTATTTTGAGTAGACAACTGTTAATCATTACCTGTATCTTCTGGATGATGGTTCTCCAAGTTTCCGCCCCATACAGGAGAACTGTCTTGACATTTGTACTAAAAATTCTAACTTTGGTGTTGGTTAACAGTTGTTTTGAGTTCCAGATGTTCTTCAGATGTAGATATTCTGCTTTTGTTTTGCAGATCCGCGCCTTCATATCTGCATCAGATCCACCGTGTTCATCAATGATGCTGTCCAGATATGTAAAAGCTTTTACATCCTCCAAATCTTCTCCATCAAGTGTGATTCGATTTGTGCATGCTGTGTTGTGTCGGAGAATCTTGCTTTCCCCTGTGTATATTGCGACCTACTGCTGCTACATTGGTCGTCTTCTTCTCCATTTGTTGTTGCGTGTGCGATAGAAGAGCCAGATCATTTGTGAAGTCTAGATTGTTCAGCCTCATCCTAACTGTCTATTGTATCCCATGCTTTCCCCCAAATGTTGACGTCTTCATAATCCAGTCGATCAGCAGGAGAAAAAGAAAGGGTGAGAGTAAGCAACCTTGCCTGACATCGATCTTTACTTCGAACGAGTCAGTGAGCTGTCCTCCATACACGATTTTGCAGTTTAATTCATCATAGAAATTCCGTATGATATTGACTATCTTCTCAGTGACGTCGTAGTGTCGAAGAAGCTTCCATAGTGTTGCCCTGTCCACTCTATCAAACGCTTTCTTGTAGTCAATGAAGTTGATGTAGAGTGATGAATTCCATTCAGCCAGTGGACACGGTGAGTCCGCCTAGGGGAGTTGGGAAACTGTGATTCCAAACCAGTGGTGCTTGTGGGCTCTAGGATCCTGATAGAACAAATGGCATATGAACCAATTATTGATCACTGGCTACCATGAGACTGCATCTCCTCACGATACTCCACTGCCTTGTGGGTCAGGTCTTTAGGTCAAAGGCTCGGGATGTAGCCCCCTAAGAAAACCACCTGCTTCGGTCTGGGCAACCGGGCAGTATCATAGTCCTCACACAATTAAAATGAAGTGACAATTTTTTGTGTGGCGCATACTTGCTTAGATCGCCTTTCTTTTGTATTTTGATCAGGTGTCCTTCTTTCCAGTCTGTTGGTACTTGCTCTTCACCCCATATCTTACTGAAGAGAATATGGAATATCTTTGTAGTTACTGCTGCGTCTGCTTTCAGTGCCTCTGCTGGAATGTCCTCTGGTCCCGCTGCTTAGCCACTCTTGACTTGTCTGATGGCCATACTGATCTCTCCAATTGTTGGTGGGCCAACATCGATTGGGAGGTCCTTGGGTGCTGCTTCGATGTTGGGTGGGTTCATTGAACCTGGTCGATTCAAGAACGCTCTACTAACCTGTTTCGTTGTTCTTCAGTGTTGATGATTACTTTACCTTCCTTGCTTTCCACTGGTCGTTCTGGTTTTTTCACAGAAGTAAATAATAGTATGTTTTTATAAGGATAATTGTTGTGGAGGGAAATTTAATGTATTCCAATCTTCGCAGTTGAGTTAGATTACTTTTTAGGTTCAACCGAGATTCTCTTCAAAACATTGAATGTATCTTGTTCGATCGTTGTACATCCAATCACGAAAATTTTTCTTGGTCAAGTATTTATTGAAGTGAATGTTTAAGTCACTGGGTACAAAAGATTGTATTCTTTGACTTTATCTGATGAGTTGTCTGCTTCTAGGCGCAATATTAGTTTATACGACACAAGACTAATAATATGTCGATTTATTTTCCTGTACATTTTTTTATTTGTTTCAGATCTTGTGCAAGTTGTGTAAACTTGAACTTATCTCAGACTAATAATCCTCCGTACTGAACAAGACAGACAAAATATTTGTTTGTAGCATTTATTCTATAAATCAGTGAAGCTTTGACTTGGTAATTAAAATACTGGACTTTCAATCACTATGTTGTAGGTTCAAACCCTATATTTCCTACTTCGGTTCTGATTATATGTAGGTCTAGTTACTAACTAAATTTCGAGTTTTAACCACCACTTAGTCCCAACAATTGGCAATCAGTTCAAAATAGTCAAGAGAATATTAATTAAAGTCACTAACTAGAGTGAAGCCAGTGAAAATGAATACATTTTCCTGATTAGTTTATTTGGGGTCCGCAATATCGGATCGTAAGACAAGAGAGCAGTTGTATTGATCTAGTTCACACATTAATTAGCCCAACCAGGCTGTTGACCTAGTACCAATGACCTTCGGCTAAAGAATAGCACGCTAATTGTGAGATGACAACCGAAAGTAAAACTAAGGTACTGTTAGTCCAGAATGTATTTCCCCACACTCGCTCGCCCAATAACCAGGATGGGGAACAACTCAGCAAGCACATCTAATTATGAATTTCGAAATTATGAATCATTCATATGATAATATGGAGCCAAATCCTGACAACACATTAAGAGGATTAAGAAATTACTATATGGGCACAACCATGCCGCAAGTGGAGGACGACTGAGTGATAGGCTCGTAATGAATTAACAATAACTTAAGAAAGGTAAAACACAATAAGTTTGTGCGTTAAACAAAAGCTCACGAGTAGGGGAATACAAAAATATAGTTTAAGTATTTAGTAATTATACAACAAAAATGTGTATACACAGTAACTTCAGATAGGACTATTCCAAAACTACAAGTTTTTTGAAAAGTCATCCCGACATCGCAAAAAGTAATTTATCTGTTAATTTTTTTATTTTTCAATGATTAAAAAAGATGGTTAGGCCATATTACATAAATGTTACACCACTTTCATAAGACATAATAATAGTTGTTTTTTTTTCCAAAATAGTTGCTACGTGAAGCTTATGAACTGCATACATCTACCGAATCAAATAATCATAAATCTAACAAACAAAAATGCGGTGATTTCACGTATCAACTAGAATGTTCTCGTGCATTACTTCATTTAGAATCACTGGAATTAGTTAGTGAACAAGCCAGTAATCAATTGCACACTCGTTTAGATTCTTTGGCGATGGATACTACCGATAATGATAATCTACTTGAAGAAATATGGACTAATTTAAATCTGGATGAAATGGAAAATGATGATAATAGTGGTGAAGACGATGTGGATAATCACGATCGCAGTACTGCTGCCACCGGGATTTCTCCAACATATAATTCATATGCATTCTTAATGAAGAAATTCAAAACTAAACTCCCTAACAATTATAATCATGTTAAACATGATAAATCTGACCAACGATTGCCAAAGAGTTTAAGTAGTCGAACTGTTCAATTATGGTGCGAAATAACTCAAACATCTGATTGTTTAAACTCAATCTATCCAAATGGACGATTTTTAGAAGTAAGTTTAGGGGCCTATAGGTTTGTTTTTTAAATAAGCAAGTGAATCATATCTCCGTTATACTGCCACGGGGATTAGAATTAAGTTAATGAGTTTAAGATTATTAAACAAAATTCGATCAGTTTTGTTGGTTAACAGTCAAATTATGGAGTTTGGTACAAAGTTCTCTATTTATTACTTGGGATTCAGAAGCAAAAGTTTGTCTTGCTATCGTATGATTTAAAAGGCATAATGTGAAACCATAACTACACGGAACGGTTGCTCTTTATGAGTAAATTTTGTTTGAAGTTTAAATCTAAGAGGGTTTGTGGAGATTTCAGTATTTTTCAAAGTTGAAATCATAAGTCAATTGAAGCTAGACCACCATCGAAAACCTGGAAGCACTGGACGGCCGTTTCGTCCTATTATGGGACTCCTCAGCAGTGCGCATCCACGAACCCGCTCTCGCGAGCGAGATTCGAACCCAGGACCTACCGGTCTCGAGCCGAAGCCCTTAACCGATAGACCACTGAGCTGGCATCCAACGGTGTTAATGTCTAACTTCAATAATAGGACGAAACGGCCGTCCAATGCTTCCAGGTTTTCGATGGTGGTCTAGCTTCAATTGACTTATGATTTCAACTTTGAAAAATACTGAAATCTCCACAAACCCTCTTAGATTTAAACTTCAAACAAAATTTACTCATAAAGAGCAACCGTTCCGTGTAATTATGGTTTCACATTATGCCTTTTAAATCATACGATAGCAAGACAAACTTTTGCTTCTGAATCCCAAGTAATAAATAGAGAACTTTGTACCAAACTCCATAATTTGACTATTAACCAACAAAACTGATCGAATTTTGTTTAATAATCTTAAACTTCAACTTTGAGAAGTTTAAATCAACAAACATTTGTTGCTTTTTGTTCTATTCATAGTAGACTCCATTGAATCGTGTAATTACTGATATACTGAATGGTAAGGATTTTGTGCCATTTATACATCAAGAAAGACTTCAGTAGGTGGAGATCATGTCACTTTTATGAAAAACCCGACAGAAGACTACACCTGATTCTCCACTTGCTTCCATTCTGAACCACATCTAAGATCACTGAGTTTCACAATTTCTAAGACACCGATCGGGGATTCGTAATAGACTGACATTCAAGAGTCCTATACACCCATCCTTCATACCCTAGGTCCATTCCCAGCATCGACAACTACTGCGTAGTGTGAAAGTCACTAAGATAATATCTAAAAAAACATATTTAAGCCACCAACGTCGTTGTTTCACGATGGCTTCTGTGTTTGAATTATTATCACTTCTCCCAAATGCACATTATCGGACCTCAGCCTTACTAACATGTTGGTGTCATTATAAATGTTTAAGATGAGAATTTTCATACGCATTTTAAAGACCATTGTCGTTTGACGTCATTTTATCTATCTTTCGACCAGTTTTCACATAATTATCATGTAAACTATAAAAAATAATCTGTCAATCTATCTGCAACCTTAATAACTCGAGCATAAACTGATCCGTTTTCGAATGAAAGAATTTTTGTGGCGAAAATACTCCGATTTCAAAACATATAAACTGTGTCTATTATTAGCCATTAAAAAACACTATATATATTTTCAGCGACCGATCCTTGGTCAATCCGTGTACTCATTACCTAAGAAAAGGCATTTCTGGGAACGCACATAATGTTTTTGATCGTTTTTAGATTAGGGTCCCATAACTATATTGCCGACCAGTCATTATCAACGTGTGATTTGTACTGATGCGAAACTGTCCAAGTTGCTTCATCATAATATTGCAAGATAAATTCAACGAGACCAATCACAAAGATGTGAAAATAATATTAGTGTCAATGACAGTAATAAGAAATAAACATAGGGAATGTGGTTCAGAATGATCCACTGAAAAAAGCTATGCAATAGTAATAAATCTCAAAACTCAGTAGAAGATAAATAATAAGTATATCCAAGCGGATGCTTCCGCTCTTCAGTGATGACACATACAACTGTCGAATATGATTATCATAAAGGCACCAACCAGGTCGTCTCTGTTTACCAAAATGGTTCACACTATAACGGTTAGTGACTTCATGGTTAGATGTGATGTATTAGTTTGGGTGCTCCTTTACTTTTTCCAGCCTATCTCTGTGATATCCAGAATTTTACATTGACGTAGACGGTGATTTGGTGTATGAAACATAACTATATGGATACTATCCAACAACATACTTCACTTTAACATTGATGACTAAAATTTACTTTTCAGGTTTCACAGTATAACAACTAAGTTGTATGATACTTTCGCGTAATGTACTGTTTTAAAATCAATCGATAGAAAGCTTATAACTATGTTCATGATATTTAAGAAACAAAAATATAACATAAAATTAGTTATCAACGAGATCATTTATTTTTTTAAAATTGTAATGGGTTATGTGTAGCGTCTCTCTAAATTACAACGAATTGAACGAATTTAGTTCTCAACTAAGAGAGTGAGTGGTCAGTCGTGACAGGAAAAGTTATCCTGATAATTAAAACTAATCAGCATTATTTTAAAAGAGCCAACATTGGTAGCCTATGAAATTATCTTAGTGCACTGATTCATGCACACAAGCATGGGTACCTTTGACTCATTTTAGATGTGTCTTTATGTGTTGTTTCTCATGTCGATCACCTTGTATATATATATATATATATAATAATAATTATTATTATTATTACCGGACGAATTGTTAAACAGATTCACCAGATCGTCTACAATCTAATTTTTATGAACTACTGCTAACTGTTTGGAGACAGAACACACGTCGTATAGTCCATGGGCATGAGCATATTCGTCCATGTTGTTCATTTCATTTAGTCACTACGAATTTATTGAAATAATATCCTCCTGTCACGGCCCCACCAAGGCTGCTGTTGTTTATTACTCGTTCGAAGAAACGCCAAAACTGACTAACAATTACGGAAATTAGTATTCGCAGGAAATTCATGTCGAGTGCAACATTTTAATGAAGAAACAAATGTTCGTTGTTTGTTTGAAACCGAAAACATCAAGTCTTTTTAGTCTGCCATCGTAAATAAGTAGTACTGCCACTCATTACGTTTATCCGGTTTATATTCACGACATCCTGTGAGCGAAATTATATGACTTCCAGACTTTTCTTAATTAACTTTTATTCGTTTACATAGTGACATCATTTATCTGAGAGATTTGCCTGAGAAAATGCTTCATACTTCAAAATGAACATATTCTGTGCATACAGATGCTTCAAAATGAAAAGTATTAATAATGCACTATGTTAAGTGCAGCAGTGCCTGAAAGTAACGGAAGCATGAAGGATTCGAACTCTAATTCCGGCAGTATCCGCATCCAGGAGATTATTGTTATAAACCAATGCATTCCATTCATGGTTGTGGTTCACGTTTCCACAAATTGAATCCCAATATCCATCTGTCTCCTTAAAAAATATGGATATTGGACAACTGCATTTTGATGAAGCACTGAGCCCTATAAAATTATTACACTTACCTCCTTATCTGGGAGTGATTGAGATTTCTTCTGACAACTTTATGATTAACTCTACAGCACAGGCTTAGAGTGCAGTTTCCTATTCTGATGGGACTTAGAATCACAAATGGCAGAATGTTTCCCGCTCGAAGTTTCTTTCTGTATTATTGAACGTTACCAGGGGCAGAAACGTTATTGAAAACAGCATGAATCTGAATTAGCAATATGGTGATTAATCGAGCTCATTGTTATAAAAATATTCGTCATCACACAAATTATTGGTTTTCATATCAGTATTAAGGCATGATAACCAGTAAAATCCTTCTTAGAACTATCGATATTATCAGACTACGACTAGCATTTAACAGAATGTGCTATGAGTTTTGTATTTTTACCAACCCACTCACTAAAGAAAACTTCTTTCACACCCTTGCTCTCCTCAAACCTGTCGTCCAGTAATATCGGTAGTACTAAAAATGATTTTACTGGTTATCGATTTTATCTGACTTCAATTATAAACTCTCATTGATTAACTTCGTATATTTCCTGAAGTCTAAATCCCAAAAGATAATTAATTTTACTTCCTCACGAGATTTTCAAAACCAATCAATTTTTCAGCTGTAGTAAAGTAACTTCAACCTTATTTTGTACCTGGTCTCGAAAATCTCGTGAGAAAGTAAAATTAATTATCTCTAGTGATTTAGACTTCAGAAGATATACGAATCTAATCAATAAGTATTTACAACTGGAGCCATATAAGATCGATTAATGGCGAACTCTCTTCATCCTCTTCCGTACACGGACATTTAAGGTGGGAGGTAGCCAAGCGGTATATCCCTACCTCAAACAATGCACCCATTACTCACAGGTGTTTTAACTCCACAGCCTTATACACAAAAGTATATTTCACCGACAAGTTGCGTGAGACCAAGTTATACGGCGTAATCATGATGTGCTCTGAGGTTTATTCATTACACTAATTTGAAACAAATTTTGTATTTTTGCTTAACTAATTAACATGCTTTTATATTTTTCACAGGCTGTAACTAATGTTTGGAAAATGTGCGACGGCGAAAAATTGGAGAAGTTATCGATTGAAGTAAGAGTATATATATATATATATATATATATATATATATATATATATATATATATATAATACATTTTATAAATATAATATGTATCACCAATCGAAAGTGAAATGTCTGGCGGCGGAAGGCTAAAAAGATCGAAGGAGAACGAAGACAGTGTATGATTGGTGTGGAAATGAAGGAACAATCAAGTCTGAGACATTTGATTGACATTTTGCAAATGAAGTATTTACTGCATGGTTCTCAGATTTTACTAAGACGTTCCGTAATTTGTATTCAAATACTTGTGTTCTCGTTCACTACAATATTACAAAAAGTCAGGCTATTAATGAGTTATGCCAATTAAGAATTCCACACCTTTTATCATGGTTTATTTCAATATTCTATGCCTTCATAATTTGTTTTGTTGGAAACATAAATCATTTCACCTTCGCAACATTTTTTCAACAATAATAAATTACCATTGTAGGCATTTCGCCTGATTTCAAGTGAATATTTTCACAATATTTGAGAGCTGTAAATGTAGTGGATGACAATTATACTCATAATATAACTGTTAGTACTATACATAAGTGAACTACCAATATCTGCTATTCGGTCGGAACATAGGTGTATCTTTTCGTATCAGATAAGAAATATCTCACTTCTCTTAAGTCTTCTCATTCGGCTTTTCTTCGTAGTTCTTAGTCTTTTGCCTACGTTTGTAATGTAATTTAATATGATTTTTTGAACTAGTACAAATTTGCGTGGTATGCTTTGAGTCAGATTCTGACTGTCTAAACCGACTTTGATGGGACGGTGTTTGAACTTAGAACTCCACGATAGATAGTCAATTGTTTTAACTACTAAGCTATTGTGCTACACATTAAAGCATCTACCCGGATATCTGTAAGTGTAAACGCCCATACCTGACGAAACATACTATTGGAACCTTTTGCTAAAATGTATGCTGATTAATTGTTTTTCTTCTGTTGTTATTCTTTACAGGAAATTTACTTTCAATCAATTTCTTCATTGGCACAATTCACTTCGGCTTATTTAGAATATTTACATAAATTCTCTGAGTGTATTTTAGTTCATATACATAAGACTGATATAGATTTTGTAGAATTATCACAAATCTTAGCTTGGTAAGTTCATTAATTTAATCTATAAACGGTAAAATTATAATATACTGACGACCTCGAGCGACATATCAGCCAATTAGGAAACACTGCTCAGTTACAAAAGAACTAATGACTTAAAGCAGTATTATAACAACTGAATAACAGCTTCGATTTCAATAATCAACTCTCACATGTCGAATTATTCTTTTCAGTAAAAGAAAAACGTTAGGTTTTGCAGAGTAGTAGTTGGGCTATTGTTATGAGTTAGGACTATCACCATATTGAGTTTTCATCACCAACTAACACCAGTGATAATGCAAAAAGTTTGGGGTTAAGCCCTATTGTGGTATATGCTACTTATGTCGACAGACATAAGCAGCATGTTATAACAATAGAAGTGGAAAACCTGGCAGCAGAAAGCAAAGGAGACCAATTCGAATGAAATAGAAAGAAATTGTGAAGTGGAAGAATCAGATAGAGAGTGAAGGACCATCGATGGAAGATTTACAAATGAAGTATTCCATGTATGGTTCTCATATTTTACCAAGATATTCTGTAATTTTGTATTAAATCATAAATTGGTTGTCCTCACCAAGTATCAACTGTTAGGCTGTTTTAAACTAGTTGCAAATTTACATGTATTCGTCTTGGTGCTTAGAATCTTTTAATTAGATGTAAGATCACCATCGACCTCAGATATTAGAATGAACTGATGAGATGATTGTGAATACAATTGTCAGTACTTCCCAATAAATCAATATAAACGGAGTAATTACTAAATGTGAATAAATTACTTTGTCTGTTCACGATATTCTAAGATTACTATTATCTGTTTCAGTGTATGCAACCAAGTAGTCAGTACCATAATAGCTTGAACTGAGAAATTTTAGCATGGTGACTAGTAGGTAAACGTTTGCTGAACTATATCATTATGTCTGGGCATAAAAAAGAGACTTAATTAAGTGTTACATTTATTGATTTGATGGGCTTTTAATTTGATTATTACTCATTTGTTAACACTAGGTTTTCATAAGAATTAAGTTCTGTTCATTTACTTGTTCTGCTTTTTGTTGTCAAGGCGAACTAGTTTATCTATGGATATGAAAATCTTTCACATGACAGAAAAAAGCGGCTTAACATCACAATTGCGCAATAATTTTAAGTGTTGAAGAGAGTATATTCTTACCGTCATTGTCCACTATTTGGAGTTACTGTAATTAATTTATGTCGAGCAGTAGCTTAATTAGTGAATCACTCAAATAATTTCAATCTTAACTCAGGTTCAAATTAAATTTCACTTTAATTTAGGCTACTGGATAGTACCACCGAGTATCAGATGTATAGTGTGATTACAGTTTGACCCTGCTACTTATTAAATATCGAATCTGTATATTAAAAGTACAAATTTTCGAAACAAATGTTAAGTAATAAAAGTGATAATAATGATGATCTTTATATACCAATTTTTCTGAATTTAATTTCTTTGTCTTTATTTTCTGCATTAATAATAGCTTCTTCCGAATCTCTGTTGAAGCTCAAGTTTGCCTTTCTCAAGAATTCATTAAAAATATAAAAAGTGTAAGTCAGATGGTCTTCATCCCTTGTATGTACTATAATTTTCAGAATTTTTTATACTTTATTACTGAATATTGATGTGTAATCTGTCCATTAAAATGAATTAAGCTACTAATCGCATGCATCGAGTATCGTTTATTATTAGTATACCACGTCTATTTGACGGCCACCATTACCTGAATAGCTCAACAGTAACGTCCGTGATTGTGACAATAGTGTCAACGTACGTTCTAACCTCACAGAGTGCCTAAGCGTTTTGCAGTTTGCAGATTCTCCTTGTCATGTACCAATTAATAAGAAATCTACTTCAAGTGAGAGGATCTTGCCGACCTCCTTCAGTCACATAAAAATCAAACGAGGTTAAATCAAGGTTAAATCTACCTGAAGACCTTCAGAGGTTACTACCGGTCCCAAGTTCCAGTAGAGGAGGAGGTTTAGTGTTATGTTTTCTCTTATTACGACCCAGATAATCTGATTGCTTAGTATTCTTGGACACTACTTTACTCGACAAGTTCCCAAATCAAAACACGGTTGGACAGGAACGTAATTATATTCCAAATAAAAGGGGTGGATGGAAGTAGGAATCACAATAAGAAAAACGTCAGTATACTTATAATGTTTACATAAAAAGGTTCTAAACCATTCTCCAAGTATCCGCTAGTGCTGATTGGTTAAGAAACAGCCAGTCGACGTGCCCCAACCCAATTCTGCACGAAACACTCTTTAATCCAATCTATATCCTGCTAACACCTCTCCTTTGAGCAGATTCATTGGATCTGAATTTAGGGTCACACTGCAACCGCGTGACTGGTTTGTGCTTTTGATTCCTCCACCTTCTAGGCAATAAAGGAGTGGTATCACTCTTTGCTTGCACAGAAACTGATCGGTTTGTCCTAGGGGTTTTGATTTTGAAAGTGTCCAGAAGGACATTAAGAGGTATTCTATTTCGGGTCTCATTGTTTCTCGAAGTTTCAGCTCCGTACATTGGAACTGTCCTAACGTTCGTATTGAAGATTCTGAGTTTGATATTGGTTGACAGTTGTTTTGAGTTGCATATGTTCTTCAACTGTAAGAATGCTGCCCTTGCTGTCTCAATCCATTGTCTTTACATCTGCATCAGATTCTCCTTGTTCATCGATGATGCTGTCCAGATACGTAAAGTTTCCAACTCTTCCAGAGTTTCTCCATCCAGTGTGATTGGGTTATTACTCACTGTGTTGTATTTGAGGATCTTGTTTTTTCCCTTGTGTTTGTTGTAGCCTACCGATTCATAGGCTTCTGCTACTCTGTTTGTTTTGACCTTCATTTGTTCGTGTGTATGGGATAGAACCTGGTCATCTGCGAAGTCCAAATCTTCTAATTGATTCCGAACTGTTCATTGTGTTCCGTGTTTCCTCTCAAATGTCGAGTTCTTGATAATCCAGTAAACCACCAGAAGAGAGAGAAAAGGAGAGAGTAAGTAGCCTTGTCTGACTCCGATCCTCGTTTGGAATGCGTTTGTCAGTTGTCCTCTATGCACGACTTTGTAGTGTACTCTGTTCTATGAATTCCGGATGCTTACTATGCGTAGTGACTTTTTATAAATTTTTTATAAATTGATTTTTCACACATGACATGTTTGTGTTTAGGCTTTGTTATAATTAATCACTAAGTAGTAACCGGTGTCACGTTTGCCTAATTTTTATTTGTGATCGAATTATATCAATCAAGTGTCGATATGACCAGCACTCTAAGTGATTCAACAACCCATACACTGTTTTGATGCTCATCTGTGATCAGTCAAAGTAATTATCTCAGTCATACAGGTCGGTTGCTTCCGGAATAGCTTTTAGACTATGAAGCTGGGTGATGTCGGTTTGAATCCCTCAGGAAGCTCCAGTTACCTCAAGAGTTCATGTATGCCTTGCTGACATACGGAAACTAGGTTACTCGAGATTTCCTATTGACTACCTTGAAGCACTAAAAATTATAGGGTCTATACTGGATCTTCGTTCTTCAGTTAACTTATATTTTTCTATCCTCTCTCTATGTGTATATTTTTCTGTAGTTACATGTGAAAAAGTCAACAGAAGTATTTGAACAACAAGAAGAGTCAAATCCCAACGTTGCTACTACTATCACGACCCAATTATCAAAAAGTCAATACATTTCAAATTTATTGTTAGAATGTAGTAATGCACAAAATTATCTAAAAAATGCATCAAATCTTTTAATACCTGTTCTTCAATTAGCTTGTTTAAATCTTAAGTACCCATCCACATTGCTCACACAAAAAAACTAAGGACAAAGAATATCTACGTTCCATTTGATCTTTTCTCAACTTCCAATGATTCCCTTTTTTCTTCTGTGCGTGTGTACTACTAAGTTAAACGGTTTGTCCTTTTTAACACAGATAAATGATCCTCAGTCAGTATTTTATTATGAGAAGTCAATCAATAACCATTTAATTACTGGTGATGTGTTTTCTGGACGAGTCCAAATGTTGTGTTTTTTCCTACAATATGATCAATAATTTATTTGTTAATATATTTGCCTTTCTAACTCATGAAGAAAATTTACAGTTTCGTAGTTTAGCATCAGGAACTAATTTTTGATAGGTAATCATTTAAAAGCAATAAGGTTCCTGGTCCACAGTGTAAAACTACGAAATCTGCCCCTTACCTCGTTAATAAAAGTGTCCGCGATTGATTATTAAAAGAAAACTGTGATGTAATAGTTTATTTGTAGCAAACGTAGACTACTGGAAAAATCTCATAAACGTGTCAAAGTAGTTTGCATCATTTATTTTTATCAAGAAGCATATACTTAATGACGTGGAGCGGGATCGGAACCGCTAACTCAGAGGTGTAAGAGTAATAATTGAATTGTTTTGTGCGAAACTATTTTAGTAGCTTTTATACATCAATGATACTTTGAACTCTACAGTGAACCGCATTCCGAATAAGTAACTTATAACCTCAAGTGACCAACCGGAATTTCAATAAGCCAAAATAACTTCATTAAATTTAACAGTTGTCTTTTCTTTTATTAAAAATTAGTCATTGATAAGCTCAGTGTATGTTTAGATGCATAACTTCTGTTATCGACAGTTCACACTAACAATACACCAAATGAAAAATCACAATATACAGCAAAAACACTTTATTCGTACAACATTGATTCGATACATAATCCGCAAAATCTATTTTAATTTAATCTTATGGTTTTTTTAGATTTTAAAGTTTAATAGAAATCATAAAGATTCATAAAACAATCAAGATTTAAGTTGAAACAAAGATCAAATACATGCAGAGAAAGGTCGTGCAATTTTGAATAAAACAACAGAAAGTAGAATTAGATATAATCTTTAATAAAATAAAGACAATACTTTTGACAAACTATATATATATATATATATATATATATAGACAACTTTTTTTTATCGACGATTGAGTAAACTGACAAGTAGATGACAGAAAGCGAAGATATATAATACTGTCAAATGTGATAAGACTATATCATTCATCTGACAGCTTTTTTTTCTTTAGTAGACATCTCTGTAGAAAGGATTTTAGCGTTTACGTCGTCTTCGATTTATTTTTTGTGAACTACCGGGTTGTAAAGAGATTTCGCATGTTTGGAGTTCATCTTTTGTCAGCTACAAAAAATAAGCATACTCAAAGGTATATATTTTTATGCAGTGACGTCTGATATTTTCTAAAACGTTTTCTTGAATGAACAAAAATAAAAAAGCTGAGGGTGTCGGGAGAGTTTTCAATGGGATCGTTATTACCAAATACTTTCGACCACTTTTCCATTCATTTAATGGATGACTACTGTGGTGTAACTTCCATTTAAGATTTTATTGCAGGAATCTGGAGTTATGAACATGTCACTGTAGTACAGCTAGCCATGCCAGATGAGAAGCCCGAATATAGCAAACAAAATTAATGAACAGAAAAGTGGCCGAAAGCGTTTAATACAGTATAGTTATTGGACATTAAAAACGTTTCAGATAATCCGCTTGTGATCGCAGCAGGATTGCTATAAACTTATCACGGAACAATGACGGACGACAAATGATCAGGTTCATCAATGACTCACGAAATTCGCACACAATAGTCATTTACACTCTTAATCTAATTTCAGTTATGTTTACCTAATGTAAGATAACTCGTCGTGCAAATACGATATAAGACCTACTGTTAAGTATCAGCTGGAGTCAATTGGCATCATGGCATGTTCGGCCTAGGTTTCGTAATAACTGAAACTCGTCAAGGAGACGTATCTGCAATCTTCGAGTCGGTTTGAATCTCGTGAGGACTATCAGTTTTTGAGATCGCAGATGTGTCTTGCTGGCGAGTATAAACTAGCACGAAACATTGATCCAAGACTCTTTCTATCATAACATCTAACAAAAAACAATTCTTTTTGTGTCTAATTATTTAGTCTAGTGCGTGCACATTAGTCTTCTTGACCTGTATTAAGGAGTGTGTAAATATGACAGACAATACTACCTTAACAAAGACAAGATAATCAAGATCCGTTGGATTACAATGAAGTTGAACAAAAGTCACTGTGATGACCATTGGTGACATCATTTGATCTACTTACTGTTAGGTAATTTAGATAAAGGAAAGGTCTTAATGTTGATTGGCTGTGATTCTCCAGAAACCCATTAGGTCAGGTGTTGGAGATCACTCGTATTTATACGGCACAATCACAGGATTGTCAAGTGCGTCTGTCAAACTAACCCAACAAAATATCAATTGTCAAGGTTGTACGACCTTACTTTGTAGATCATCATTTTGTTGCTACAATCCATGGAAAATGATACAGATTCAAATTCCAGTAACCATAAGGTGACCAGAAAGAGGCTAGACTTTGCGACACAGGCTAAAGGAGTTGACTGTTTATCCGAAAGGTACACTAAAAGCATCGACGACACTATTAGATAATATGCTGAATTGACTTCAGATATACAAAGTCAGCTAGAATATCGTCCACGTCGGTATTTAATGCAATTTGCGGTTATTAACCCAAAAGAGGGAGAAGAAATTGAAAGTGGTTCTTGATTGTGCAGCAAACTTTTCGCGGGTCTCTCGAAAGATTTGATTTGCTAGTGGCTAAATATTGCAGCCATTCCAGTAGATATATTGTTTCAGTAGAGAGCCGGTGACCATTTCTACTGGTTTTGGAGAAATTTCCACTCAAGTCAAGGTGCCTGAATCTCACAGAAGCTCATTAAGATTAAGAGTAAAAACTAACATAGGTACATGGAAAGGTTTTCAACAGTACGCACACAACTTCAAGATAAACAGACCGATTTCCGTAAGGATCGGTCGTGCACAGACCGAATCGCCACACTACGGATCATCGTTGGAAAATCAATCGAATGGGACTTGTCACTACACATTAACTTCCTTGACGATAAGGCGTTCGACAGTGTGAATAGGAGAACATTATGGAACCTTCTTCTACATGATGGTGTACCTGAGGAAATCGTCAACATCATACGGAATTCATACGACGAAGTACACTACAAAGTCATGCATAGAGGACAGCTGGCAGACGCATTCCAAGCGAGGATCGAAGTCAGACAATGCTGCCTACACTTCCTTTGTCTTTCTTCCGGTGGTTGACTGGATTATGAAAACTTCCACATCTCAGAAAATTTAATATCACTGCCTATTAGGATAATACGAATGCATTTCTATTTTTATTAATAATAGTTCACCCAAGGTTCAGTTTATTTGAAATTATCAGGTCAAACTTTGGTATTGATACCTACATACTTTCGAGTTTTGTTTTAAATTACATTGTTTACAGCGAACTCACAAAAACTAGTGGATAGTAAACGAGCTGGAGAGGCAAGAATGGCAGAACACGTAATGATTCCCACATATAACTTCTTCATATCAACAAGGAAAAAATAATGATTTGTCTACAACTCCATCTCATTACCTTGTCAGTGAATTTGTTGGTAAAGAAATAGTAGTCGATAATAAACCTCCTAGAAAATTATTCATGGCTATAGGAAAGATTCAGAAGGTACACTTAAGAATTAATACATTAGGTTTGCTTTTCTTGAATGACTTCAAATTCTACTGACCCGTTTACATGTGTGTTTACTTTCAGGCTAATTCTGCAAGTATCGTTGTGTTCCCTAAAGAATAGCCAGAATACGAGTTATGTTGCAAGGGCGCCTAGTAACAATTAATTAGATTGGCAGAACATTTGATTAGGAGGTACACGCAAAAAAGTGAGAGGACAGAAGGAATATATATATATATATATATATATATATATATATATATATGCGTGTTTTCAATGTCAATGTAAATTGATGCATAACTTAATGATTAACAAAGCTAACAAGCAATGAAGGAATAGATAAAAATTAGGATGCAGATATGGATTCAGTCAACCTGACATATTCGGATGCATGGTGGATCAAATATTCAAACTACAATAAGCAGGTAATGAAAATATAAATGGGCATTTCTTAATCCTTCTGTTTCACCGTAAAATAGGTCATACACATAAAAAGTTGACAAAGGCTTTTTACAAATACATTTCAACTTATGTTAATAAGGTTATTTCTACAATATCAAGATTACGAAATTGACATTCAGCCTTGAGAAACCAATAAACTTCCTAAAGCTACCGAACGCCATTAGTTTATATTACTTCTGTTACGAAATACTTGTGACTCATTCATACCTATTGGAAGAGCCTGTTGAATTTCAGACAACTTCACAGTCATTTAGGGAAATAGCATTTCCGTTTAGCACAAACATTGCTAGGAATGAAACAGACCAAAGATCGTCTGATTATTATGACAGTTGTCCTGAAGTCCGTAAAAGGTAAGTTCTTGGTCGATGACTGCTTGGGTTATTTATCGGCTATTGAGCGAGCAAGTATAGTTCTTACGCAGATAAACAGAGTGACGTTAAGGGAAATCTGTATACCTTCTTTCTTGAACAACCTCAACAGTTACTACGATGTGGTGGCTAAGCCTGTGTATCATCATGGCCCAGTTGAGTAAAATCGGCTGGAACATTCGCCCCTTTAGGTGTTACCAGGTACAAAGCGTTGGTCAAATAGCGGCAAATTTACGGTTCGAGAGCTAAGTTACATTATAGACTGTACAGAGAAATGATGGTGTGGTGTATACTGCTAATGTCGAGAGACATAAGCAGTATGTTATAACAATCGAAGTGGAAAACCTGGCAGCAGAAAGCAAAGGAGACCAATTCGAATGAAATAGAAAGAAATTGTGAAGTGGAAGAATCAGATAGAGAGTGAAGGACCATCGATGGAAGATTTACAAATGAAGTATTCCATGTATGGTTCTCATATTTTACCAAGATATTCTGTAATTTTGTATTGAATCATAAATTGGTTGTCCTCACCAAGTATCAACGGTTAGGCTGTTTTAAACTAGTTGCAAATTTACATGTGTTCGTCTGTGAAGCGCCAACCGAACACCAATGAATCAAAAACAGGAGTTTATTTTCAAAAGCGGTCCGACTAGAAAGATCTATCCAGATAAGAAGAAACGAGTGTAGGGAAACAATGATTCCTCATAATCCTCGCCGATACCAAGGGAGATTAAAACTCGGATGCGACGAACAATGAATTCTACCATCGGTGAAACAATCTTCCCAAGAAATAGTGATAGACAGATACTGCAAGGGTAGCCGGTAATTTGGATGTACAGAATAGACATCTAGATAGAGCAGAGTCCCACGATGGTCGCAGCATAAATAACGGTGACCGCCTCCTAAAGCTTTGCGCAAAAGCAACCTGTTTCTTGCAAGCACCAGATTTTCACATAGTCATCATTAGCGTGCTAACAGGCGTCCTTACTCTACAATGGAAACCGGAATTCAAACTGATCGCCGGGGTAAAGAAATCTAACGTGAAGGATTCAGAAACCTGATGTCTAGAGAGTGCTATCAATTTGGAAACAGCTCCAGCATCTAGCAATTTCTGAAAGCTATTTCAACCCATCTGAGCCACTTACACGAAGTCTAGTGTGAATGAAATAATTTGTGGAGTTGATGCGACATCAAATGATGTCTCGGAAGGTAACCAGTTTTTTGAGGAACAGTTCAGTTGGTCTGTTGCTCCGAAAACATCAACTAAACCATGAGTGCTGGTGATGGAGCATGGTTAAATTAGTCTAAATACAGTGGAAGCTTGGACGGCTAATCCCAACCTATAGCATCCTTTCTGTCGTGGTGTTAATTTGGATGTACAAGGACGAGTTAATAGCGCATCGAGAACAGCTATGCCCTATGCTTGCGAAACCTGTCTTCTCCAAACGGGAGGATATAAGAGGACTATTTAATCATTGTTGTCTCCAGAGGATTGCTGACATTGTTACAACATTGTTAGTAATACTGTGGTTCGGCAACGTGTGTTCAGGTATCATGATAATAACTCAATTGAAGTCACTGTCTTAAACACCGTTTTAGTGGCTTGGTCAAGTGTTACAAATGTCCTCTGAACACCTTCCATATCGTGCATTGATCGCCAATGCTGAGATGGAGTGGGGTCAGTCAGTCACAAAGTAAAACTTCGTACGTACGTACATCAGTTCAGGTTGCCATACCACATTAGCACAGAGATGCAGTTTTCGAATGAAATCCCATAGTAGTAGTAGTAGTGAAGGATTAGGGTTTGAAGATGTTATTCAAGGAGTATAACACAGTGAAATAAATTTCGAAAGAGAAAAAGATAGGGACATGAAGAGTTCAGAAGATTAGAAGTTAGTAGAACACAAGGAGTGGATGCACCTTCGCCATTGCAAACGATTTTGAGCAATGTCATTCAAGGTCTCTAACCATCGGTTGCTATCATCTCGTGAATCTCAACCAGGTAGTCTACACCTACCGGCATGGCTCAGTTCACTTGTCAGTGATTTTATAGATTTGTGCCACATTTTGGTCTGGCCGCCTCTAGCTTTCTTCTAACCTACTCCTACACCATGAAACATTGCACGTCGGGGCAGTCGGTGGTTGGGCATACGTAACACGTGTCCCAGCCATCTCAACTGATGAAGTTTCACTACTTCATCAATCGATTTGCCATCCTTACCTAGTACCCGTTTCCTTACATCTGCATTACTTACCCGGTGGTCCCAGGATATACGAGCAATGCTTCGAAGACACCTGTGATCAAATACTAGTAGCCTACGAATATCCTCTACTCTTATCGGCCATGTTTCTCTGCCATAAAGTAGGACGGAACGAACTGCTGTACAGTAAACCCGTCCTTTGGTTGATAGACGGATATCTCGCCTACGCCATAAATGACGCAAGTTGGCGAAAGCTAGACGAGCCTTCTGTATCCGTGCTGAGATTTCGTCACACACCAGACCACAAGGGCTGATGAAACTCTCAAGATAAGTGAAGCGGTCAACACGCTTAACTACTTCACTTCCTATCATTAGTGAGGGTGTCGCTGCAATCCAATCCTGAAGTAACATTTTGCACTTTGAGGGAGAGAATCGCATTCCGAACATGCCTGCATAGTTGCTTATAGTGGTCAGAAGACTCTGCATGTTGCCAGCGTTCTCACCAAATAAAACTATGTCGTCGGCGTATTCTAAGTCAATAAGTGAGCCTCCCGGTAGAAGTTCAACTCCTGGAGATTGAGATGATGAAAGTGTTATCTCTAAAAGCATGTCAATGACAAAGTTTAACAAGAATGGTGAGAGTGGACAGCCCTGACGAATACCACTTGAGGTAACCAATTCTGACGACAGTTGGCCATAGGCTCTAACTCGACCAGTTGTGTTCGAGTAGAAAGCCTTTATGAGGTTAGCTTGAATAATAATAGGACGCCTAACCAAAGCTCGTGAAGAGCAGACTAGAGAATACCAGGCTGGTTTTCGACCTGGACGTGGTTGCATAGACCAGATATTCACTCTACGTCAGGTCCTAGATGGAGTGTGGAAAGTGGGAAGGTGGTTAACCTATGACATCGTCCAGTAGTGTAAAAGAAAGCTTTGTGGGATTGGCATCTGCCGCTCTACTATGACTCCCAGGATGGGGTCTTAGAGATATTACAACTCAGTGACGTTATCAGATATTGCTCAGAACAAAAATCGATGGCGTGTCCCGCTGTAGTTTCCTTCTATATTCCTAACAAAAGGAGGAGAACTTCTTCAACTGAAAGGATCCTTCTTATTCGTATCTTTTTAAAACTGATTGCCCATTACAACTGATCCTCATCCACTTATTTCTATTCATTTGCTCAGTCGATCATCCTTCCTTCTCTTTCTGTATCTCTACACATGGTGCATATTTATTTTGGTGCCCAGTTGTACCAGTATTTGTGTTTAAATAGTAACTATTATTATGAGACATGAAGATAATATATTAAAAACTGCGAACAGAAATAAGGTGTGTCTCTAGTCTCAAAGGGTTGGCCTTTTGATGTCTGAAGTCACACTTTTGCATCGCTTAAGATTACCTCGAACCCAGTCTCTTCCCGGTTCCTCACGACAAAGTACGGTAACCGCACTCCGGATTTGACTAAAATATTAAACCTGAGAAGCATGCAGTTCTCAGCTTATGAGTTTGCATAGAAGTACAGTTCGAATGTATTTCCGAGTATCGAAAATATATGTTCAAAGTTCTTGATGGAACGAAATTCATTTACATGACATGCTTTTTAAGAAGTATTTCAAGCAATCATTTTTAGTTCAATGATTGTTATTTCAATACTTTCACAGTATAATTCAAAGTGATCAGTTTGTGAAGGAAACTTTGATTTTAAGTTAATCTTTTATGCGAAACGTATGTTGATAGAATGATAAATCAGTCATATGTCAGCTAAGCTATAAATACTCTCATTTCTGTCCAATCGGTTTGTATATTTGTCGGTAGCTGCTGAATGTAGCTTTTATGAAAGGCTGTCGGATTAGTGATGAATATGGTTGAATGTTAAAAATAATAAACAGAATTTTGATCAATACATGATACAAAATAGTATGATGTATTTGATGTATAAATCCAAACAGATCTAATCATAGAAAGATATCACAAATGGCTAGGAGAATGTTTTATTGCTCGTTAGGTGATGTGTGGTTGTGAAAGTAAATGTGATTGGTCACTTAATTGGACTAACAGGTACGCAACTTACTGACCAGCAAATTTGTGATTTTCTTTTCTCCTACTGATTTTTACTCCGGACTCGACGAGTGAATGTTCGTAACTGTGTGGAATAAAATATCGTCTAGTGCTAATCTGATTCTCTATTTTCGGTCGTGAATCGGATATCTCATATAACCTGATCTGGTGAGTGTATAGCGGATCTTTCGAGTATCCAATCTAGCAATATTATAAACTCGGTCATCCGGTTCAGTCTTGTGGCGTGGTCTCCTTATAAGTAGTATATTGTGATGGTCAGACATAGAATGTATTTTGACAGAAGACTGATAAGGAAAGAACTGAAATGAAGCATAATTGGTAGGAAAATGCACGAACAGTGAAATTAGAAAAGATAGATTGATATTTACATAAGGAACAGTGAAGATTGAGACAAGTGACTGTTATTTTGCAAATTAACTGTTAGCTGTATGGTTATCAGATCTTAGTTTGCAATTTGTGCTTAAATAAATCCGATTGTCCCCATTCGTGTTCTTGTTCGCTACATTATTACCGTACTATCGTAGTATAAAGCAGAAAAACATTTTAACCTATCCATTACACCGTAAAATGACATGCTTATGCATAAAATATTAAACACAAAAAAGCATAACTAGTAGTCGTTTGAGGCATCGGTGATGCAAATGTATTTAGTGTCATATGAAACCTGTCAGTTACAGAGGCTGCCGTAGAAGCTACAGAAAGTAGCTGTTTCTTGTTTATACATTGATTATTCTGTCCGTTTTAAGATTACGAATAATGCTCTATACAAATGTGAGCATGATTAATATGCAAAATGATAACGAAGACTGAAGTAAAGAACTACGACGGTAAGTTCACTTCATTACATTGTCGATTGTACTGTTTAGCACTGTGCACTTACAAACTGGAACATAGGATCAAGTTTAAGAGATTAAAGTCTTGTAGAATCCAATGACCCAGATTTGCAATTTCAGTTGATTAGCGATGGAATTCGACTAGTGTTGGGAAGTCCCAAAGTATTCTTTGGAAAAGTCAATGGGGGTGCAGAAACGTCAGGAGACACTTCATCCAATCAGCGTTGAACAGAATCTTCACAGTAGCACCTAGAAAGTGAAGACATGTGTCACATTTCTGATTGGATATTTACCTATACTACTACTACTATTTATAGTAGGGTTCCAGAAACCTTCAAAAGTCGTGTGTAAATCTGTATATGCCCCTGTTTGTCTGTACATAAACTAGCCCTATATTAAAGAGTTCATTTTGCACTTCGTGTCTTTTCTCTTGTGTTCAAGTCACCATGTGGATAGAGCTTAGGGTTATTGGGAGGGGCTAGAAAATCGAATCGAGTGTTCTTTAGCATACTTATCAGTGGCGACGGAAGAACTACAATGAATATTACATTTGAACAATCAGAAACCTACATGGAGCGTCAAGAGAAACGGTTTGAACAGTCTCAAATAAGAGTAATGAAAGCCCTTATGCGGATGTGTCTATCTAAGCAAAACCATGGATCAAGTGAACTACAAGTAACATACCAATTTAGTCATTATTGTTATTCATGAATTTCACTTTCATGGTCTATCTGGAGTTATTTTTGACTCATGTTAAGAGAAATATTAAGATATGTTCCATGTTCATCTCTGTAAACTGGATGATACTTTAAAAGTCAGAATACTTTTAAGAAAACTTGGGACAATAGAACATGAACGCTATAGTAACTATAGCGTTATAAAGATCCCGCGCGACTTTAGTTTTAACGAAACAATTGGAACTATCTCAAATCTTTGGGGAACTACTTCACTGTTCCAACTATATTAAACCAAGGCTATATATATATATATATATATATATATATATATATATATATATATATATATATATATATATAGAGAGAGAGAGAGAGAGAGAGATTACCTCTTTACTTGTGTTTAATTCATTTAATTTATCTCGCAATTCCAAGTTTAATAGTAATTCTCTACATTCTGCACGAGCTGTTTTCGCTTCCGACTCCGCTTGTTCTGTTCTTTCGCGCCAGGTTTTCTCATTTATAAGTAAACTTTGATTTAAAGCACGTTCTTCTTCCAAATCCCTTTGTAAACGTTGAGCTAATGATGTGGCCTTAAGATTATTTTAGAGAGTATAAAGATTTCAGGAACAATAGGCATGTTTTGTGCAAGATATTTATATTAAAAAGAAAACTTCATTGACTATCACATGGATTATTGATTGCATTTTCGTGACATCTCAAAATACGTTTATCTTTCATATCAAAGTAAAAAAAACAAGTATTGATGTGATCACCTAAGAATAAGCTTAGAGTGTAAAGTTCGAAAATAAGACCATTCAGATTGATTTTACCATGATGTTATAAAATTTACTTTGAATGTTACAACGTTACCAACAGACTGCAAATACCACAGAACTTCGGACAACAAGATGCGAGGGTATTTACAAAACTAAACGTTTAGGTTTTATATCATACATTTTATTGCATAATCGAATTTGGCATGACAATTTAAGGCAACATACGTTTGTGCTTATTGCAATTGGCTAGGAGCTGAATAAAAAAAATTTTGAGAATGTTTCCCGCTCGAAGTTTCTTTCTGTATTATTGAACGTTACCAGGGGCAGAAACGTTATTGAAAACAGCATGAATCTGAATTAGCAATATGGTGATTAATCGAGCTCATTGTTATAAAAATATTCGTCATCACACAAATTATTGGTTTTTATATCAGTATTAAGGCATGATAACCAGTAAAATCCTTCTTAGAACTATCGATATTATCAGACTACGACTAGCATTTAACAGAATGTGCTATGAGTTTTGTATTTTTACCAACCCACTCACTAAAGAAAACTTCTTTCACACCCTTGCTCTCCTCAAACCTGTCGTCCAGTAATATCGGTAGTACTAAAAATGATTTTACTGGTTATCGATTTTATCTGACTTCAATTATAAACTCTCATTGATTAACTTCGTATATTTCCTGAAGTCTAAATCCCAAAAGATAATTAATTTTACTTCCTCACGAGATTTTCAAAACCAATCAATTTTTCAGATGTAGTAAAGTAACTTCAACCTTATTTTGTACCTGGTCTCGAAAATCTCTTGAGAAAGTAAAATTAATTATCTCTAGTGATTTAGACTTCAGAAGATATACGAATCTAATCAATAAGTATTTACAACTGGAGCCATATAAGATCGATTAATGGCGAACTCTCTTCATCCTCTTCCGTACACGGACATTTAAGGTGGGAGGTAGCCAAGCGGTATATCCCTACCTCAAACAACGCACCCATTACTCACAGGTGTTTTAACTCCACAGCCTTATACACAAAAGTATATTTCACCGACAAGTTGCGTGAGACCAAGTTATACGGCGTAATCATGATGTGCTCTGAGGTTTATTCATTACACTAATTTGAAACAAATTTTGTATTTTTGCTTAACTAATTAACATGCTTTTATATTTTTCACAGGCTGTAACTAATGTTTGGAAAATGTGCGACGGCGAAAAATTGGAGAAGTTATCGATTGAAGTAAGAGTATATATATATATATATATATATATATATATATATATATATATATATATATATATAATACATTTTATAAATATAATTAATATGTATCACCAATCGAAAGTGAAATGTCTGGCGGCGGAAGGCTAAAAAGATCGAAGGAGAACGAAGACAGTGTATGATTGGTGTGGAAATGAAGGAACAATCAAGTCTGAGACATTTGATTGACATTTTGCAAATGAAGTATTTACTGCATGGTTCTCAGATTTTACTAAGACGTTCCGTAATTTGTATTCAAATACTTGTGTTCTCGTTCACTACAATATTACAAAAAGTCAGGCTATTAATGAGTTATGCCAATTAAGAATTCCACACCTTTTATCATGGTTTATTTCAATATTCTATGCCTTCATAATTTGTTTTGTTGGAAACATAAATCATTTCACCTTCGCAACATTTTTTCAACAATAATAAATTACCATTGTAGGCATTTCGCCTGATTTCAAGTGAATATTTTCACAATATTTGAGAGCTGTAAATGTAGTGGATGACAATTATACTCATAATATAACTGTTAGTACTATACATAAGTGAACTACCAATATCTGCTATTCGGTCGGAACATAGGTGTATCTTTTCGTATCAGATAAGAAATATCTCACTTCTCTTAAGTCTTCTCATTCGGCTTTTCTTCGTAGTTCTTAGTCTTTTGCCTACGTTTGTAATGTAATTTAATATGATTTTTTGAACTAGTACAAATTTGCGTGGTATGCTTTGAGTCAGATTCTGACTGTCTAAACCGACTTTGATGGGACGGTGTTTGAACTTAGAACTCCACGATAGATAGTCAATTGTTTTAACTACTAAGCTATTGTGCTACACATTAAAGCATCTACCCGGATATCTGTAAGTGTAAACGCCCATACCTGACGAAACATACTATTGGAACCTTTTGCTAAAATGTATGCTGATTAATTGTTTTTCTTCTGTTGTTATTCTTTACAGGAAATTTACTTTCAATCAATTTCTTCATTGGCACAATTCACTTCGGCTTATTTAGAATATTTACATAAATTCTCTGAGTGTATTTTAGTTCATATACATAAGACTGATATAGATTTTGTAGAATTATCACAAATCTTAGCTTGGTAAGTTCATTAATTTAATCTATAAACGGTAAAATTATAATATACTGACGACCTCGAGCGACATATCAGCCAATTAGGAAACACTGCTCAGTTACAAAAGAACTAATGACTTAAAGCAGTATTATAACAACTGAATAACAGCTTCGATTTCAATAATCAACTCTCACATGTCGAATTATTCTTTTCAGTAAAAGAAAAACGTTAGGTTTTGCAGAGTAGTAGTTGGGCTATTGTTATGAGTTAGGACTATCACCATATTGAGTTTTCATCACCAACTAACACCAGTGATAATGCAAAAAGTTTGGGGTTAAGCCCTATTGTGGTATATGCTACTTATGTCGACAGACATAAGCAGCATGTTATAACAATAGAAGTGGAAAACCTGGCAGCAGAAAGCAAAGGAGACCAATTCGAATGAAATAGAAAGAAATTGTGAAGTGGAAGAATCAGATAGAGAGTGAAGGACCATCGATGGAAGATTTACAAATGAAGTATTCCATGTATGGTTCTCATATTTTACCAAGATATTCTGTAATTTTGTATTAAATCATAAATTGGTTGTCCTCACCAAGTATCAACTGTTAGGCTGTTTTAAACTAGTTGCAAATTTACATGTATTCGTCTTGGTGCTTAGAATCTTTTAATTAGATGTAAGATCACCATCGACCTCAGATATTAGAATGAACTGATGAGATGATTGTGAATACAATTGTCAGTACTTCCCAATAAATCAATATAAACGGAGTAATTACTAAATGTGAATAAATTACTTTGTCTGTTCACACACTGCAACCGCGCGACTGGTTCGTGCTTTTGATTTCTCCACCTTCTAGGCAATAAAGAAGTGGTATCACTCTTTGCTTGCACAGAGACTGATCGGTCTGTTCTAGGGGTTTTGATTTTGAAAGTATCCAGAAGAACATTAAGAAGTGTTCTATGTCGGGTCTTAATGTTTGGGATTTAAGTTGCTTTCATTTAGTTAGCATGGCGCCCCCAAACCTCTGAGCCAAATGACACCTTATAAACCACACTTCCTCTGTTTTGCATGATTCGACCAGCCATCCATGTAGGATGTTTGCCACGACAGTCCGCAGTAATTACATTTTGATCCATAGTGAACAGTCGTCTTTGTGTTCTGTGACGTAGATTGAACTGTTTCTTCATCGATATGTTTCGTTGAGTTTCAGGAGTTGGCGTCGCCCCCAAATGCCCTGGTACGGCCGCGAGTGGGGAGAGTACGCTCTCCCTCTCGAAATGCTCTCACATGGCCGCGCGTATATAGCCCCTGCCAGGGAAGTCCTACTCACTGCCTTCTCGTGGCGGGGGTGTTGTTTTCGAAAGTGAGAGGACGAAAAGCGAATGTCCGGCGCTATAACCGGGTTGGTGGATATGAAGGATCCACCTAGGGGAGTTGGAAAACCCTGATTCCAAACTAATGGTGTACATGGGCTCCCGTATCCTGAAGGAACAAATGGCGAATGAACCAATTGTTGGTCACCGGCTACCATGGGACTGCATCTCCTCACGATGCTCCACTGCCTTGTGGGTTAGACCTCTAGGTCAAAGGCTCGGGGTGTGGCCCCCTAAGAAAACCACCTGCTTCGGTTTGGGTACCCGGGCAGTATCACAGCCCTGTCGCAAATAATGAAATGGAACATTCAACTGACAATTATATTCTCGTTCACACTATGAACAAAACAATTTGCATTATTACTATTATTATTATTATTTACCATATCGGTAATTCAGCCCCTTTTTATCCCCAATTTGTGTAACCTTACTTTTCAACTTATGCAGCAGCTCGCTCTTGGTGGAAAATCTGTCCTATCTAAACGATCTCCAGTCACTGTCTGGTTGAAAGTGAATGCTTCCACCGATTATGAATACTGAAGCAGTCTTTCTGAAACCACGTACGCCGTTCAAGCTGGCTTCCTTCAACGTTCGCACACTAATGCAGATCGGACAACAGATAGGGCTGGCTATGTCTTTGGAAGGTCTTAATGTTGAAGTTTGTTGTCTATCCGAGACCCGTATTCAAGACTCTAGTGAAGTACTACAAATCCGCTCTCCATCTGTCGCCTCGAAAAGCTTGTTTCATGTGCGCTTATCCGGGGACCCCGTGGCATCTTCGTCTGGTCTTGCTGGCGTTGGTGTCTCACTAAGCGCTAGAGCTGAGGCAGCACTAATCGATTGGATCCCAATTAACAGTCGCTTATGTGCTGTTAGATTAGAAAATTCCATCAAAGTGAGAAATCGGCGTGAGAAACGGTGTCTTTTCGTCATCTCCGCCTATGCCCCGACAGATTGCAACCCGGATGCAATCAAGGATGAGTTTTACCATCAGTTAACAGTTCTTCTCCAGAAAGCGCGTTAGACAGATATTGTACTACTGTGGTGTGGTCTACTTATATCTATATAAGTAGTATATGGTGTTGCTCAGACATA